TGCAGCTCTTCCACACACAGGAGTCGGAATTCCCCTCTCCTCAGGCAGCCTAGCGCCAACTGAGGGTAGTACAGTAATGATGTCATAGAACACTCTCTTAAAGCTACAGTACAGGTAGTAGTGTTTACCAAAATAAATAAAATAATACAATCCTTAAAATATAACAAAAAAAATGGGATTATTCAGTATTAATCAGGATTTGGTGAAATTTCAAACATTATAAAAATAAATAAAAGCACATTTTCTAAAGTTGTTACATTTACTATAATCCAGAGTGGAATCATTGGCGGCTTTGCGCATGCGTAATTCTATTGCAATGTGAGTGTGGGTCTCCTTTCTGCTCGTCTACATTACTATCAGTGCTTTCCTGTTTTGTTGATAAAGTCTCCAATAAATGAGAGAAAGTTGCTAAATTTATCACTAGTCGCTTCCTCCCCCCCAAAAAGTCATTGGAGGGGTGTGAGAAGTTGCTAAATACCGCGACAAAATCGTTAAATTGGCAACAGTTCTCCCGGTTCTCACACTTTAAGCTAATGCCGTGTTCTGCTTCGCTTTACGGCCGTCACTGCTGCAAAGTGCCGCGCATGTGTTTCGAGACGGTCTGACTCTGTACTGCCACATAATGGTAGATAGTAGCTATTATTATTCCTATTTGTGTTTTAGAATAAATATATATCCGATCACTAATCGGAATGCAACATTCGATTCCGATCAAGTCTAACAGAACATTTCTACTTCCAATGGAGATTTAGTTAAGGAAATTTAATAGACTGCAAAAGCTACTGAGGCACATAAATTATTACAACAAAAATGTGAATCTGTCAACTATTGAATCAGAGGGGCTGAATACAATTGTACACCACATGTTTCAGATTTTTATTTGTCAAAGAATTAAATTCATTATTTTCATTCCAATCCAAAAAACCCCCTGAGGTTTGGGGTTGCATAGTGACAAAATGAGAAACTAACATTTGGGGTTTGTGCCTGCTTCTTTTCTCTTCACAGAAATGTAAGGATATTTTTTTTAACTAACTGTTTCATTATAAATGCTTTTCTGAATGATTTTAAAACTATTTTTTATGAGAAGTGGTAATGGGGTGTGGTTTAAACTCTGTTTAAGAATGTGAGGTTCAGGGAACAGTGCCAGAAGAGAGACTGACAAACAAAGTGGGGAAATGCTGTGATACACCCAATATCATTCTGAAAAGCATGGAGTGGCATAATTTGAAAAATGACCCAAAACAAAAAAAAAAGCTTTTCACATGAATACTTTTTAAATCTTTCCAGGTCATAGTGACCTGCATGTTTATTCTGCAAGTTTATTTTGACTGTATCATCTTTTAACTCCTGACTACAACTGATGAAAAACAACAGTTAGTAAAAGGGAAATAAGTCTTGACTTCCTTGTATCTGTTAGCTTGTGTCATTTGCTCATTGCTTATCCAAATGCTTATGGCAGTGGTGCTTTTTTGCAGCATTCACATATATAGTAGACATGCAAACCATCTCAACGGCTGAAAACAAATCTTCCAAGAAAGAAGAGGCAGACCTGAAGGAACGTCAGGATCAGGAGAAGGACATTTAATGCAATAGTTTGTAAATAAAAGCAACACAGAGAGGCAACACACTAGTTTTCCAGTACATGTATTCATCCAAGAAATCCCAGTGGGCAGGGCGGTGGATACATGGGACATTATAGCAGGCGTGTCAAGAGGCAGACTTGTGAAACAGTTATAGAAGGAGGCAGATCATGAAGCAGGCTGATGGGTGAGGTCAGCCGAAGATGGGAGCCATGAGAGGGCAGCTATTCAGTCTGATGATCGGGCTCTTGTTTGTGGCGAGCCTGCTGACCACTTTCATGTGGCACACGCTGGACAACAAGTAAGTTGGCTTTTTCTTTGCTGTGAATGGATTCTGCTTGATTTTGACAAAAGTGGTGCACGATGCTTAAGGACGATGCTTATCAAATCATCTTAATTGGCATAGATTCTTCACCCAGGTATGCATCAGATTTTACTGATAGTTTTTGTTTCTGTGACCTAAAATACAGCAGAAGATGATTTGTCTTTGAGAAACAGTTCAATTCGAGTCCTGCTGTTGACGAATATTTTATTCTAAGTTTGCAAAGGTTTTTTAAAACAGAAAAACAGAAAACAGTGATCTTAATTCAAACCTCAGACTGATCCCCTGTCTAAAGGAACCGCAGACTGATAAAATATCAGCCACCAACTCACTTAAACTAGTTCTGTTAAATACTAGATATCTCTGTGCTAAAGCTCTATTAATTAATGATTTCATCACTGAGCGTAATATTGATGTTATGTTTCTGGCAGAAACATGGTTGAATGACAATAATGAACCAACCGCACTAATTGAATCAGCGCCTCCTAACTACAATTTTTTAAGTGAGAATAGAAAACATAAAGAAGGAGGAGGTGTGGCTTCAATATTTAAGAATAATTTGAAATAAAATCTCTTTGGGTCATTTCATGTCTTTTGAGTATCTGAGGTAAAAAGCCACAAACGAACTTTGACGCTAAACTTATACAAAACTCCAACATATGTGAAAAATTTCTTTACGGACTTGAATGAGCTTATATCTCTCATATGCATTAATTATGATTGTTTAATAATTTTCTATAATTCTCTTTGTTCGGCCCTCTGC